CAAATCACTTTTATGGGCACACTTCAAATTTCCGTCATCGGACTAAACTAGGAAGTCACATATGAATAAAATTAACAAATCATAACTGATCATAATTGTTTGTATTAGCACTGGAAGGATTTCTGAAAAACCAAACATTCTATATACTTGGATTTCTGCTTAAAGTGGCTGAACCTACCAGTATGTCTACAAAGTAAGATGCATGTACACCAGAATGCAGTTTTGTATAGTCACCGAAAGTAGTTAAACTGAATACTGGTGGAATAGTTTTCAGAGCTAATAAGTTGCAAGAAGGATAAATAGCCAGCGCTAATTTCGTAAAGTAAACGTTTTTCATATTTACATTTTAGATGAGAATGTTCAGTTTTCAAACGTAACTATGTTAGGTAGCCTAGCACTTACGGCTTGTCTATTCAGTACCAAACATCCAACCTACCATATCAGAATTAATCAAACAACCTGCTTCTCCCTGAATATTGAAATTTGAAGGAAATATTTTGCTTTCGAAAAACCTGGATATATATTACAAATAAGTAATCTGCTTTGAAAATCACACCCTATTGAGAATTTGATTAAACCTGCACCTCATCAACAGCAATAGCCGACCGCCACTGGAGACAACTCAACCAAGCCACGCGCCTCTATAGAATGCGGTTAATTTTATCAATAATCTATTGCTCGGACATTACCTTTCAGTATCATTAATGCTTTTTAGACTATCCTAGGCGCTAATACAACGTTGCAATCCAGTATTTTGGGAGGCCAGAAGATGAAAGAGGTATGTGCAACTTCGATCGCTTATTTTTGTACAAGTCATATAACATCAAAAAAAGAACATAATATCTCATTTTCGAAATGTTTTGCGATTACAACACTTCTTCGCCATTCGGCGTGGGCAGTAAACAAGTTTCTCTATGGAAAATGATCAAAATTGATAAAAAGCCGTGATTAACATATTTTCAAAAGCGTTGTAGAGTATCCCATATATTTATATACTCTACTGGTGTCTTTTTTTTGTAATAACACCTGCTGAGATAATTGGAAGGAATTATGAAGACGCTACAAAATCACTTTTTATTGGTTAAAAGAGTTCTGAACGCACGCAAACACACTCTGAACATTCTATAAGTTTGGCAAACGGATCTGCAACATCGGGGTATCGGTGAGGGGAAAGCAAAACATGGCTGGTTTCATTCATAAAATGCCAGCGGCGTGCGGTATTTTATAAAAGTTTGGGATTATTTCATAATTGGTTTAAATTTAGTAAACTATACGTTTATGTTTCACTTTAAATTTTAGGAGTATCTCAATAAGCCCACAATGATATGGAGCATTGTCCATAATAATAAATAAAGTCTCGGGTAAACTCAAAAATAGCTGTTCTCTACAATCTACACCATGTAAAAAAATACTTGAGTTTGTTTCTACACTTCAACAAACGGAAAAATGTCTACTCACTTCCCAAAATTGCCACAATTCAAAAAATCATTATAACTGCGCGATTTAAAACCTAAATCAAGCTAGCGTTTTTGTCAAAGCCGTAAATAAAATATATTTTTCAAATACAAATGGATACTTAACGTGGTTTTTTACCTTGAGAATATATATATATACAGGGTGACTTTGAAGTTGAGTCATTAATTTTCAGATAATGATTGTAGAAGGAAGATAAACCAAAATATGTGTGTAAAAATAAAAAAAAAATTAAAAAAAAAATGTTTACCTTGTTTTATAAAGTATCCTCCCGACAAGTATTTCAGTGCGGACCTGTATTTGATCGTGAGGTCCCCTGTGAGGTCTTAAGTCACCTGATTCACGAGCCCATTGTACTACATTAACAAAGGCACGAGGGGTTGGTTGCACTCGATTGGGAAACCGATCCGCATAAACATGTGCCATTTTTTATTTCGTTTGAGCCACGCAACAGACACCACTATTCACACGCGTTACCGACTGACACTGACTGTGTGTATACAACTGAATAAAATAATTGTAAAAACATCGTTCCAAATTCTTTCGCTTTTTTGTTTCCGATGCGATGAACCGATAAGGCGGATTATATCCGTTGTTTCCAAACACGAGCACATGATATTATTATTGAGACAGGGCGGTACTCAAACTTCCAAAGGGCTATAACTTTGTTACTTTAATTTTACCAGAAAAATGGTAAAGGAAAAAACATTTCTTTTGATCAGATCTACTCACTGTTGAAATAAATGACTCAACTTCGAAGTCACCCTGTATATATATATATATATATATATATATATATATATATATTATACATCCGTGATCTTATAATATGCTCATTTACTTCAAAAAGTGCCACAAGCCGAAACATGACCAGAATTAATTTTTATTTTATAATCCGCATCTTTCTGGATTCCTATTGTTGCAATTTTGGACTGTTGATGTGGATATTTCTAGAGCATCGGTGTCGCTTAAATAGAAACAAAGAACTTTAAACATATTTCATATCCGTTTAACTTATAACCTCTGTAATAAATAATACTTACATTATACAGCATTTCAAAATTACATTTCACCTATTGAATTAGCATTGGTGTTCGTCAACTTCATCATTATCATCATCGTCATTGTCGTCATCAGTTTCGCTGTCGTCATCTTGCCCTATAGTTATTATAACTGGTTCCATTTCCTCCATAAATTGATCATTTTCCCAAAATTTATCTTCAATGTCCCTAGCATGTTGACAAAATTTCTGCCAATTATTAATGGATATTAAGGACATCGCTTCCTGAGTAACTTCTTTCAGTGCGGTTAAACTGAAGCTTCCAGTGGTATTGCGGCTTCTTATATGAAATTTAAGCTTTGCCCAAGCTAATTCTATTGGGTTTAGCTCGCATAAATAAGGAGGTGTTCTTAGAGGAGTATGTCCATGTGATCTTATGATCCGATCAACTACATAATTTTTTTGGTTGTCAGGGGGCTTATGAAGTAAGACCAGATCGAACAAGTCAAATTTTCTGGCAGTTGCTTCATGATTTATGCCTATAAAATATTTTATTGTATAGTTTGATATGTACATGCATGTTTTAAGTCATAAGTACCTTTCTTTGTCAAGCAGGCCATTATATCTTTTTTCGAAGATGATTTTGTCGGGGTTTTATCTTCCTGGACGGAATGATATGGAGCATTGTCAAATACTATAACCGAATTGGCAGGTATATTCGGGAGGAGTTTTTCTGTGAGCCAGCGTGTGAAATTTTCCCGATTCATCTGACCGTGGTAATCGCCTGTAGCTAATCCCGCCTTAAATATCAAACAGGCATTGTCAACAAATCCATTTTCTGAACCTGCAGGCACTATAATGAGTCGACCTAAAATATACAAGACGATTATATAATATGTTACAAATCAGAGTTAAATGTAACATATATATATATATATATAGCATTTTTGCTTACCTATAGGACCTATACTGCTTATTACACCAGAAACAGTTTCGCTCTGCCAGCATTTTTTGAAAGTCAAGTCATTGTCCACCCAGGTTTCGTCCAAATAAACAATATTGCGCCCTTCTTCACGATATCTACGTATTTCACGGATGTATTTGTACCTCCATTGCAATATATTAGGCCTCTCCATCAAAACTTCTCTTTTATTTTGACATTTGCGCCAAAAAAAACCATTTGATTTTAATAAACTCCTGAGTGTTTCCCTAGAATAGGGGAAATTTGAGTCTTCTCGCAACTTTTGTAACAACTTCCTAGTTGTCGGGACAACTTTATATTCAAGATAAAATCTGTTTATCAAATGTCTAATAATCTGAAAATCAAAATCTTCATCTTTCTCGACAAGAGACTGACGCGGTCTTTTTTTTCCGGGACTGGATAACATTTTATTCGGGTTATTTTCTAGTCTTTCTTTATCTTCGTTATGAATTTTCCTAACAGAAGATACTCCGACTCCGGTATAAAGGGACACCCTATCAAGCTTACGTTTAAGCGGCAACTTGAGGGAATTGTTTGCCGCTTCCTCATCGCAAACCCTATAAATAATCATCAGAATGTTAGCTTAGCATTTCCTTGTTTTTTATTTATATTCAGACTCAGTCGTCAAAAACTACAATTATTGCATATTATTATTACTAACCTATAAACATTCGCAATCACTTCTCTTGTTTGGCTATGAAGCGTCTTTCCGCGAGTAAATTGGTTCATTTTAAAAAATAATACTAAAACGAATAACAATAACAAATAACAAAACACTAAACTATTCAAAAACACACAGCACTAAACATACAAACTTAATAGAACAATAAATAGTTAACAATAATAGTTGTAAAACTCATACACGACAATCAACGGAGATAAAACCTACGCCACTGGACTTTTCAATAGTATGGATATTCTAAGAAAGGAGCAAAAAATTGTCTGGGACGCTACCCAAAAGGGAGTCGAATTTTCTCATGGCGACAAAACATGTGAGGATATCCGCCAATCAGATTTGTTTAGGCGGTGTCCAATATACCTTTCGGGTGGTTGTTGCCAGCTCAACCGATGTCAATAAGATCTTTGGAAAAATGTTTACTTATAATACGATTCAGTAGTAAAAAATAGTTATTAAATACAAATAGAGCTAACAACCCATTAAAATACTCAGTATTTTGAATTATTATTTTTTGGAATTGTGAAAAATCGATTTTCAAATCATTGAAATTACTTTTATTATTATTATTGCTTTTTTGTAGTTAAATTTGGCAATATCGAATATTTTCGGTCGCATTCCTTTCGCTGTTGCAGATCCGTTTGCCAAACTTTATAGCGGCACCTGAATCACTATACAAACTTTCATCTAATCTGTGTATGAGAACATCTCTGATATTCCAACTGTCGCCATGCCAGGAGATCCCAATTAGGCTTTACTTTGAGACACTGTGTACTTATCTGTGTGTTCACAGGTTTATCGACAAGGGATTCCATAAGTTTATCTGGTCTAAGCAAGTCGGTGGAGGGTTAAGGTGTGAAACTAATTACCTGATTGATATGCAGAGACCTCGACGTGCCGGAATATCTGAGCTTTAGCTTTAATGTGATTGTGCTCAAACTTAAAGCATACTGTTGGAATTCTCTCGCAGAGGGTGTAGAGTAGAGCATGCGAATATACCGGCATACCCAATAACTCTATAATTTCCAAAGCAGTTATTTCTATTTAAGGCTATCCTCTGTAATAGGAATATCGTTATTATCAATATGACAGGATGTGACAATTTGTAAAATAGGCAAAAATGTACACTTTTACTTCATCACAGGATTATATTCGGCAAAAGTTGGCCCCTCTGAGAAATAAAGTTAGCTACAGTATATTCAGATAAGAGATAGACCGGATGTAAACAAAAGGTTCGGGTGATTTTCACGCTAACGCCGCCGTCTCGACGTAAAACAGGAGCCCTCATTGGTCAATTCGCAATTAAATGCCTATGCCGAGCGGCAGAGCAGTCGTATCAAGGCAGAGTCACATTCAGGTTCAGACGTGTTACGTATGTCGTGTGCATCATTGCAATTTGATATTTCTTTGGACGTTTTCGTTTGTTATCTTATTAAGTTGTTGAGTTTGTCGTTGTTATTGTTATACCTTGTTATTGATTGTTATTGTTATCAACTGCTTGCGCAAAATGCCCAGTAGTACAGATACTGCCGATGAAGTTGTAAACTCCTGTAGTCCACCTAGGAAACGCTCTAAAAAAGACACCTGAGTGCAGAAATGAAAGAGGTCATTTTGAATATATATATGATCGAGCGCGAGGAGAACGAGGCATCAACCATCAAATAAATTGTTGTGAAGGTTTCTCACAAAGTTGGGGTGTGTCGCGCATCAGCGTTTAATGTGTTAAGACAATACAAAAAAAATCACACCTTTTCTGAGCCAATGACCAGTAAACATCGCAAAAGTATTGTTAAATCATTGGATGAAGCTGGTAAGCATGCGATTAGGAGAAAAGTGCATGAATTCTTCTTTAGGAATGAAATACCTACTACAGATAAAGTACTGCAGGAGGTAAATGGAGAAACAACGTTGCCAAATTTCAAACGATCAACTTTCCATGCGTTACTGAAGCATTTAAATTTCAAATGGAAAAAACGGGGTCGTAATAGTTTACTACTGGATAGAGAAGAAATTGTGCTATGGAGGAGGGATTATTTAACAAAAATTGGGAAATATAGAAATCAAAACAGGAAGATTTATTACCTTGATGAAACGTGCGTATACGCAGGACACACTACAAGTAAAGTATGGGTTGATGATTCTGTAACTTCATCCAGGAGGGCCTTTCTAGATGGACTGTCCACCGGATTAAAAAATCCAGCAGGTAAATACGAGTAATATACAACAATCGGATGTTTTTCAAACCTTGGGAACAAGGTTCTAAACATTAATTCCAGGAGGCAGATAAAACATATTACAAGTAACAAAACTTTTATAACTTTCGATAAAATTCGTGGATGTTTTATTGTCATTTTCATTTGTTAGAACTTTTTTAAGCCATGTTTTTATGTGTTTTCGATATTTCAATAATTTTTTAATATAATCTTAAAATATGTCGAATATTAGGTATAAACTTAAAAAAAGTTACTAAGTTTTATATTGTGTACCGTTCCTAATATTTCTAATCATTTTAATTCATACTTTAAGCTTTATAAAGTTATAATTTGTTCATATTAATATTTGCGCGTATTTCAGGTTTATAACTTTAAATTAAATTGTGAAGCGCTGAGTAATGATACGACGTTCCATATTCTTTCTTTCAATATGACTAAATAATCCCAATTATAGCAATCTGATACTCATGTCTCAATGTTTTTTCGCTGAATGTGATGAAAACATTTGAAAAAGGTTCGCTTATTGAAATAAATCTACACCAGTTAGTACTTCGATTTCCAGGTAAAGGGAAAAGGCTCATTATCTGCCATATTGGCAGTGAGGATGGATTTGTTGTTGACGGTCTGTGGTGCTTTGAGTCTAAGAAAACTGGAGATTACCACGAGGAAATGAATGGCGAATCGTTTGAACAGTGGTTTTCAAAAATTTTACCGAACTTAGAGGAAAACGCAGTAATTGTGTTGGATAATGCGCCTTATCATTCTCGAAGAATGGAGAAGGTCCCAACAACGGCTTCAAGGAAAGTTGATGTTCAAAATTGGCTCCGCTCGAAAAATATCAACTTTGAAGAAGCAATGCTGAAAGTACAATTATTAAGAATTGTCTAGGATCACAAGGCGGAATATCAAAAATACGCCATTGACGAAATGGCAGCAAGTCAAAATAAAACTGTGCTCCGTTTACCTCCATACCATTGCGAGCTCAATCCCATTGAGCTCATATAGGCAGAGGTTAAAAATTATATAGCTAAGCACAATACAACTTTTAAATTTTGTGACCTCAAAGGACTTTTCAAAGAAGCACTAGAATTAATAACAGCGCAAAAATGGGAAAACTGTATTAAGCACGTGAAAGACAAAGTTGAAAAGAGAATGTGGGAACTGGACAATATTTTAGAGGAACAAGTCGAGCCATTCATTATTGACGTTGGTGCTTCAGGCAGTAGCGATGATGAAAGTTCATCAAACTCATCTTTCCAATAAAAGATGTCGTTCATCAAATTCGGTAAGTTATAAGTAATTATAAAGCTACTGTATTTTTTAATTAATTATTGACATTTTTGAACCCATTTTGGCAAAACCTATTCAAGAATCTACTTTCTGACAATGTTCAACCATGCACATTTTTTTACGTTTTGAACGTTTTAATTTGGTTACATATTTACCTAGAAATCAAAAAATATACTAATCAATATTCTAAAAGCAATTTTAAGAGATATACGATTATTTTTAATTTAGGCTAATTTAAACGCCATTTTGAGGTTATATTCGACTGTATTTCACCAAACATCAGGCGGCATCCGAAGCTGGAAATCGAAGCGAAAATTTTGAAACCCTTATGTATATTTACATCATTATATATTTCTTACCCCACCCCCACATGATCCTATATCCATCACCAATCGTATACACATCAAATTGTGCTAATTTACTACAAAGTTACGCAAAGCAGCATCTACTATCTAAAATATGTAGATACTGCGTTCGATGATCACGTGGTCTTGTTTATGTCCGGTCTATCTCTTATCTGAATATACTGTAGGATCATGGAAAAATTACACGGATCAAGATACTCATACAATTAAACTTTCCATATTTACTATGTTTTGTGTACAATTTTGTGGCTCTTTAAGATTGGGCTCTCTGAGAAAATATGCTCTCGCTCTTCAACAAGTTTTGCAGGCAGTTAAGCTTTCACACAAAAGTTATCTCTTGCCGGCCCTACTCTTTCCCCTGAAAAAAATTGTTGTGTACATCAGGCGTCGATCACAATCGGTTCACATCTAGCCGAGCAGAGGAGATCGACTGCTACACACATGCATCGGCAGGAGCACGAAGCGTATGATTGGCTGGCCAGCCTCGGAAATATCTCTCTATCATTCTAGTTTTAAGCAAACGATGAATGAAACATGTCTAAAAGTGTATACGCACCCTTTTTTTACCACGGCTGGAGTCAAGTAAGAATACCAATTTCCAAAAATTAATACCTCCCTGACCCCCCAATCTTTCAGCAATTTTCAAAAATTATCAGCATCAGCATCCTCTGAAACGTCAAAAAAAAAACAAAGTCTAAGCGATATTTATTTTTTTAGTTTTTTTACCCCTAGCTCTGCCGCCACTGGATCGATTTTCAAGAACTATAAAGCTTTTTCGTCCTTGGCATAGTAGTAATCTGGCTTGAATTTTTTTAGCAAAGTCCGACTGGTGCTTTCCATGTTAAGGATTAACGCACAGTTAGACAGACAGACCGACGAAAGTGAGTAACATGGTTTTTCGTGATGTACATGTTATCAAACAGCTAAAAACATAATATCTCATTTTAGAATTTTTTCGCTATTTCAATAGTTCCACGCAAGTGGCGTATGAAATAAAACATTCTTCTGTTCAAAAACTGTATCATCAATACCTCTTTTTTAAGCATTCGCTTGTTTGGGTATTGAGACTCTGCCTTCGCAGTTGCTTCAATATAAATAAGTTCAACAATCTTCGATATCTTAAATCATTATAGATTGAAATTTCTTATTTATCTCACAGCACTGATATAATAGTTCATTATGTACCTTGGTGAAAAAGTGTACCATTATTCATCGAACACTTTTATATCCTGAAGCGCATATCTCCAGGAGGTATAATGTGCGAGGTTAATAATGGACTCCTCCACCACAGCATATACAGGATTTTTCCGCTAATAACGACAATATATTAATTACCACAATTCATTTGATTATAGTTTGATATAGCATATCTGAGAACTTTATGAATGGTCGAATAAAGCAGAGGAAATGTCTAGACTACAGAACGATGCGTAGGATAGGGACGCTGACAGAAATAGAGAATGATAAGAGTTTGACAGATACAGAATGCTGCGTACGTCGACACATCATTCTTTTGCCACTCATTTTCAAATAGTCGAAATTATCAAGTAGGATGGAACTTTCAAGCTGACAAAATAACGAGATGAATAAATACGTTCAACATCAATTTCAGTTATAATATAGATTTGTAGTAAACAATATTTATTAGAAATATTCAAAAATGGATAAATGATTTAACAGAATTGCCAATCTTGGCCCAGCAAGCCCAAGAAGCCCTTACATGAATGCACACACTCATTATTTATCTAGGGATTTTTTTCACCAACGTTATTAACCTATGGGGATAAATGAAACTTCTTTTTAGAGAAATGTCAGGTGGTATAGGATTTTCAACATTTGAGTTAACCAGACCAACTTCTATATCCTACGTCATTTTGCAGTCTGTTCTTTCAAAACAAACACCATAATTGCAGATTACAACTTTATATAATTACAAATAATTATTTTTCTATGATGCAGGCAAATACAAATATGTTTATTTACATTCCAGATATTGCAGATTTAACTCCAATTTGGATATATTCCTAATCGTAGCATTAGTCTGCTTTTTCCTAAATAAACGATCTGTTTTTGTTCATAGTCTATCTAGAATTCATATTTCTATTATAAGGAAATGCTTGA